AGGGGAAAAGGTCCAAAGACATAGGAGTGAAGGGAGGGGAAAGGGAAAGGAAAAGAGGGAAAGGAAAAACTATGAGAAAAGGGAAAAAAATGGAAATGAATTCTATGTAAATAGGGAAGGGTGGAAGGGGTGAAGGGTGCACAGGTAATGGGGAAAAAATAAGAACCAAGATACATCATGTACAGGTACAAGCACCCAATGACACATGTAAACGTATTGTATACCTAAAATGTACCAATAAAAGAACTTAAGAATAAAAAAAAAAGATGAAAGGGGTTGAAATCCTGTCCTGCATTTAGATGGTCTTGGAGGGGTCGGGGATTTAGCTCAGTGGTTCTGCCACCTGCCTCACAAGGGCAAGGTCCCAAGTCCGATTCCCAGTACGAAAAAAAAAAAAAAAAAGATGGTCTTGGAGGATGTTTATCCATCATCTTCATGGTCTTGAGGTCCTACCAAAGTCCCCCTTTTCCTCCTGCCAACAACTCTCCTCCATCACTGGTTGAGTACACAGACTTGGGTTTGGTAACAAAGCTACAGGATGGCAAACAAAGGTATGCCTTCCTGTTTCCCTCAAAGTTTTTAGCAAATGAATACTGTCAACTCTAGGAATGAAAACAGGAAGGAGAGAGAATAGGAGCGTCCTTCCCTCTGCAGGGACTCCTCAGCCCCACAAGCTAGACTTCAGTCCTGATCCAGTCACTCTAGACATTCCTGTCAAGTTCTCATTTAAATCTTTTCTTTGAGTGTAGGTTTTTCATTTTTAAGGATCCTGGACTGGCCTTTTCTCTGGAGACCCAGGGTCCAGGTGTCACTAGCCACTGAATCACTGGGCAACCAGGATTTGTCAATCTTAGCCTTGATTTAAACATTTATAAAATGAGACTAATAATTCCCATTTCCTACTTTCTTTACAGTAACACTTCTAGAATAATCAAGATAAATGGGAAATGCTTAGAAAGTAAGTAATTTGAGGGAAGAAAGACTAAGAAATTATTAACCCACTGAAGCAAATCCAAGAAACACTGGGAATCCACTCTCTGATCCAAAGAAGGAAGCAACTGTTTTTGAAACTCATGAGGCTCATGAAAGAGATCAGCATTTCCAGGGGGCTGTGAACTGCTGTGGAAGTGGAGCCCAAGGGGCATGTCCCCCTGAAGACAGTGTGCTTTCAACGTTCCATTAATCAGAGTTCAGGGGACTGTGCAAGGCACTGAGTGAGGACCAGAGGGGTGCGTGGTGTGTAGGAGGGTAGAACAAACTCCCACAGGGCCATGTCTCCATGGATCGGATTCTTAGGAGTCAGAGGCATCTGAGGGTGACCTCAGGCAAGAGAAGCAAAATGGGCAGACATCCTCCATTGTGAGCAAGGCCACCAGCGCTTCCTCCCTGAGCATTTCTCTGAATGTGAGGTCCAAAACAATGGGCTGGGGCTGGGGATTTCTAACAGCAGCAAGTATCCATCATCTCTATCTTCCTGCCGAGGAAAGTGCCCAGTACTGGGCATATGAAAAGATCTTGTCTAGGGGACCAGAGACTTCCCCTTTACTTGAGGTCTAGTGCCATGGAATCCAACCCAGAAACCCCACCACTATAGACGCATGCACACATACAAGTTTTCCTTACTACAACAAATAATGAACAGAAAAAATACTTCAAAACAGGGAAATTCATCTTTCCTGAGTGTTTGAATTTAAAATTCTTCTGAACACACACTAAAACATGAACAGAAATTAATTCCTTAACATAATTAGGTTTAAAAGAGTCATCTCTCCAAATGCTTTATAAGACAGAGGAGAAGAGATGGACTCAGTTAGTGAAGAGCATGTAAAGCCATAGTCTCAGGATAGCAATAAAGAGCCTCAGTGGACGGGAGGCTGTAGGGATACCGGAAGTGCATTGCTTCCCACATCTCGCTGAAGGAAACAAGATGAAATCCTGCCTGGTGTTGTCCAACCTCAAAGACTCACTGCATTTTAATTTCCAAAGCCAAGTCTTTGGTTCTACACAAGGAAGTTTCCTTTTAATCAGACTTTTTTTATTAACTACCCGTTCGTGATGTGATCTGGTTCAGGAATAGGCTGTCCAAAAGTCCACCCAAGGCAAAGCTCCTGGGTGGTGAGTTACAGGCCTGGCAGGCAGTAAGAGGAGGAAGCAAGATGGAAAGACAGAAGAAAGTAGGGGGGGAGAGCAGCAGGTGAAACTCAGGTGCACAGTGTTACAGCAATTATGCAAATCTGCCAGAGCTGCTCAGCCTTCTCCCAGGCACCTGCCTTCCTCTGCCTGCTTTCCTTTCAGATGCTGCCCCTTTCCTTTCAACAAGGGAAAGCACTAGGCTTGCTGAGCACCTTAAGGGTCTTTACTCCCATTAGCCTTAAGATTTGATTTTAAATAGTAAGAAAAGAGGTACAATTACCATGAGTAATGGCAAGAATTTCTAAGCTCAGTACAATTTAAGCCCACAAAAATTACTAGTTCTGTAAAAGGTACACATGGACATGCAAACTTAATAGCATCATTAAACTGATTCTAGGACCAATGTCCTAAGGTAAGTGAAGTAATTACAACATGGGCGTGCACATAGTCATCTACACCACAGAGAAGCATCGCACAAGGGCAGCCTCTGAGGAGCAGATTAACCCACATCAGGAAACCAGAAACCAAGCATCACTTCTGAGGAAGAACAGCCTGCCAGTGTGAATCTGTCCCTTCATCTGCTGTCCCAGATAATGGGTGTGCAGGTTATTCTAAGTGCAAACTTTTTACTTCTCCTGTAACAACTCATTGAAAGGTTCATTCACTATTTTGGTGCACACTCTGGACAACGACAATATCAACTTAAATGTAAGAAAGGAATTTACCCTATGTCGTAAAATAAATGCTCACACTGAAGTTGGAAATAAAGGTTATGTTCATCATCCACACGCAAACTGCATAAAAGAATCACCTGTGCTGTTTACCAAAAATATGTGGCTCTCTTTGTCTCTTATTTCTGAATTCCCGGCACAGCACAAATAAACCCAAGATCCCCATCTTAACAAGAGGCCTCCCAACGCAGTGGATCCCAGCAGACATTTCTAGTCCATCCCCATCCAGGTCCACCTAGCTCTTCAATGACACCCCCTGCCCCATACTGTGCATCTTCAGGAAAATGACTACTGAGTACAGCTGCTTTGTAAGTGTTCTAGTTCACTCATACATGCACATGGCCAGCAGGGCATAAGACACTCCCCCTCGGCAATTCAAGGTTCCTATGCAAACTGTTCTAGAACAGCCTTGCTGTGAAACAAGACACCCAGTGCTGCTGGCACATCTTGGAACCAGCTGATCACACATTGTCAATGTCACTGCTCACAGAAGAGCAAGGAAGCTGGAAGTCATGCAAATGATATGAATAGCAACCAGGAAGACATGGAACACTTCATTACTGGGTCACACTGGATTAATATGCTGCTTTATTTAGGTTCTCTGCAAAACTGAAAACCACCAGGCTCTAAGCTGTGGCTTTCCTGACAGTGAGCTCCACTCTTCTCCCAAGGAGCCTCTGACTTCCTCCACCACAACCCTCATCTGCTTCTGATATAAAACAGCTGATGTGAGGTGGGAAACAAGATACCATAGCCTTTCTTCAGAGCATCACCTAAAACCAGCTGGGAGAGAACATTTCAGGAAGAATGATGCCTACATTTCCAGTAGCAAAACTCTATCATATGTTTAGCAGGTCCTAGGATACAGCCTAGGGTGCAGGGGCTGCAGATAAATATCTGTCAGTGTAACACAATAAAAAAGAAGGGATTTCATTATTCATTACTAAGGAATTCTCACTGACCTTATACTGAGGGTGACCGTAACGTAATAGGCTTGTTTGGGGAAGCCCACTTGTAGAGTCCACTTGAGGTACTTTTTGAGAATTTCTACAGGTTAGTCAGTCAGAGAATGATATATTAATTGTGTCTTTAATGAATAAACATTTCCTGCTTTATAATCAGAGCTCAATATCTTAAAAATACTAGACTAATATTACATGATCAAATCTGTTATTGACTGACTTCGGCTTTGAATGATTTTAAGCTATTATCTGCAGTCTTATCTAGTGAATAAAAATATTTCTACCACTAAGCTTGTTCGAATGAATATTGATAAGCAAACCCAAAACTCCCTGAGGAGTGTGGGTGATGTAACCTTGTTGGAATATTTTACAGCCTCCCACGAGAGACACAGCAATTGGGAGGAGGCCCATCAAATTCTGGTCTGACCAAGGGCCACCCAACAGTCTATTGTCACATTTCTTAAGAAACTCAAGAGGTAACTTTTAGATTTTATCTTAGTGCCAAATCATATTTGCCATAAATTGGATAGATTTTCTTTCTTAATCACAAAGGTAATCTATTTTCAGTTGTTCTTAGAATAAGACAACCTAGTCTTTCCTATTGTGTATTCAATCTTAATACCATAGCTAGAATGCATGATTCAGTGGAACGTATATAGCACAGGCTTTTAGCCAAAAAATACTTACGCCATGATGCCAGAGAGGTGAAACATCTCAGCTGTTATGTAGGACAAATAGCTGTACAGGAAGACAAAGAGTGGCTCAATCACACGAATATTATGTGTGAAGCGCGTGGTAAAGGCTGCTATGAAGCCCAGGAAGATGCCGATCAGCACCCCACCAATTCCTACAACAAAGAAATTAGCGATCCCTGCAAACACGTCAATGGTCTCGATGGTTTTCATCTGGCAGAAGGACTTGAACAAGTTGTACAGGACCTGTAGGAGAAAGAAACACATTGTCAACACACCTGTAATTTCCCATTTTCATCTGGGCACAGCCAAACTGCCTGGCTTTTCTTTTCCAAGGAGGATACTTCTTCTGGGGACCCATGTGAATGACAGGTGGCAGTTATTGTGTAATTTGGCATATACTTTTCTATTGGGATTTTAAACTAAAAAATTTCTTTTAAAAAATGAAACTTTCTAAAAATAACAGAGATTTCAAGGTTCTTATCTTGTTCCTAAAACACTGTTTTCTAGATGGTGCCTGAAAGACTATTATGAAATAATTTATTGCCTTCCAGCACATACTACTCAAATTACCATTGTTTGGGAAGCCATGCACCACGCAGGTAACCAGAGTTCCTGTCAAAGGATCTACAAGGTCCCGCACTCCTGTTGTGCAGTTGCACTGTGGAAGGGAGCCTCTGACGAAGTCTTCTGCCCCAGTCCTCTATTCTATCCCACCTCTGCATCCTGCTAACACATATATGTGGGGTGACAAGAGCTCTAAAGGGATTTTCTTAAAGCAAAGAAGCATTGTATGTGTGTGTGCTGTAATTTCACACGAATTTTATGCCTGTAAAGTAATGAGGCTATGCTATTGTTTGGCTTTTCGCACAGTCCTGGTTTAACTAAGGGTTGGAGAATGTGAGGCCCTCCATCCATGCCCGCTGGGCAAGAGGCTTCCAACCTGCCTTAAGCCCTGCCACTTGGATTTTCCACAAGCATGAGGCAACCCTTCTCACCATGATATTTACGACTCTGGGAGCAACCAGATCTTTGAGAAAGCCAAGTGGTAAGGACGCTGGAGATGAAGGCTGTGCTACATCTTCCTTTGAGTTCTGAAAAAGTCAAAATTGATCCAATCTGTCCAACGTCAAATGTCAAAATTGATCCAATCTGTCCAAGGTCAAATGGTTCCAAATATCAGAGGCAATACTAGAGTGCAGGCCTCCTGGCCTGGTTATGGTGTTCAAGGCCTAACCAGGGGCACATGAGTGAAACTCCTCCTATAACCAGCCCGCTCCCTGGCAAAGGCAACCTCCCTCTTTCTCTGATAACTTGTAGTCATTTTTATAACCACCACATTACAGAGTTGGCATATTTTTCATCTTCCTTCTGGATTATAAACTCCTTGGGGTCAACCAATACCTCACTGTGATTTACATCTTCCATGTAGCCTAGTATATAACAACAAATGTGTTTGTTTCGAAAAAACAATGAACATTTCCTTAGAAAGCAGTGGGCATTTCCTTTCTCGCAATCATTATCATAATACTTAAGAGCATTTGGAACCCTATTAGAGAGCAAGGACATGGGAGGAGAACAAAAAAGAGATTTCCACCCTTGAAGAATTAACTGTTTTGAAGGCATTGCCATTGGCCAAACAAAAAGAAACTGCATCCCAGGAGTAGCCCCTTCCTTCTTTCCACCAGAACTGGCTGAGGACCAGCAGCATCAGGACCTGCTGCTTCCTGGAAGAGGATCAGGGATGCGCTATAAACACCTCTGACTCTGAGCTTGGCCAGAGCCAAGGGTGACAGTCACCAGCACCTCAGGATAAAGAGAGGAGAGAGGGTTTCCAGCACATTGTGGAATGGCCCATTTTCATTTCCGCACTGACAGCCTCTCCTGGTCCACCTGGCCATTCAGTTCCCAGACCCTACAGCTTCTACCCTCACCTCCTCCGGTCTGCACCATGCATTTTTTTTCTCTTTTTTTCTAATTACAGCCCCCACAAGACCTACTTGCTTTAAATGTTACCATTCCAATTTCCAGTCCCAAGATGAAAACTGTAGGCTACCTGACTTTTGCAAGGCCAGACGGACTCAATGCACCTGGCACATCTTTTTCTTTTGCTTTTACTTTTGCTACTTTCCAGCATCTTGGGAAGTCTGGGGCAGGGTTTCACCACTGCTGCTCAAAATAACATATATATCCATTCCAGCCTGGGGGTTTCCTTCCCATCATTTCAGAAACCCAGCCCAAAATGCAGGGAAACCACCTATCTTCTTAGGGGGAAAGCTGAAACCATTGCTCCCCCAGATCCCTTCCTGGACGCCTCTGGCCCTTGAGAACCCCCTCTCCCCTGACCCCCCACAGCACACAGATTGGCTCCCAAACCCATCAGCGCTAAGGGTCCAACTTGTATGGCTGGTGCTATCTCCAGAGTGACTGCCTCATCTCTCCAACAAAGCTACTGATCCTCCTCCTCCTTCTCCTGTACAGACCCAAGTCAGCTCCTCCTCCTCCTCTTCTGTCCCCACTCCTTCTACCTCACAGACTGACCAGGACCCCAAGGGAAGCTCAGGCTTGCCCCACAGAAGTGGTATTGCAGAGGGTCACAAGCTCACAGTCCTTCCAAAACTATGCTCCTGGAGACTCTATCTACCCAAACCGTCAAAGGGCCATTCTATTTTAAATATCAGAGTAGGCCTGGTGCTTTCAGCACATTGAGCAGAAGCCCAGGCTGCTCAGTCTACTGCCTGAGCCCAGAAGCCATGACAGAGGAAGCTCTAGGGTGGGAACACTGCCATGACAACCAGAAACCCTTCCACAACACCCAACCCAATCTCTGCTAAACCTGATTCCAAGGGATGAACCCTAGGTCAAAGTCTCTAAGTTACAGCTGGCCACAGGCAACTCATCCCAGTGAAATCCTTTGGTTTTATCCAAGGGAGTCTATGTGGCCAAGTGCCAATTTATGCATGTGTGTTAAATGTAAATATATATGATGTACAAGGGCTACAATATGTCCCCAGGGGGTCTGTGAATTTGGGGGATTAAAATTCCAGTGATGTCTAACAAATTCCATAACAGGCTAATTTGACAGATGAGTGCCTTTCACTCTGTCATATGGGCAAGGTCTATTTGTTATAATTACTTCAAATATATATAAAATTAGCAGAAATGACATATTTGAAATTTTGATTTAAAATGAGCACTAATTCAGCGAAGTCACATAGAGCAAAGATACAAATTATGCAATTACGGTGGCTTATGAGAATAGCTCTGTTCTGGAATACAGTACTCACATTTAGGTTACTCCTTCTCACATGAATCATACAGCACAATCAGTTTTGTTTAATGAGCTTTAGGTCTGTTTTGCTGTTTACAAAATCAAAATTAAGTTCTAGGTGCTCACCACTTTCTTTCTCCATCTTCTGAAGTTAAAAGCTCTCTGGAGCCCACAGTCACTGCCCACCTGAGCTTCTGTCTAGAGGGTCAGTGGTCCTTCACCAAGCCGAGTTATGCATAGACAACTAGACAATACTGGAGGCAATCTTTAAGTCTTATTGGAAAATGTATTAGAATCCTCAATTCTCACATTAACAGACTCTAGGAATGATATTAGAAATTACCATGGGAACATAAGTACTTAAGTCATTTGATCTGCAATTTACATCCCATCAATTTCTCTTGCTTTAAGATATATTTATGCTAGGTTTTGTTCCCTTTCACCTTTCTAGCTGAAAATTGAATTCATCATGATCTGGAGAAGGAGTTACTTGCTTGAAGACTAAACTTCCAACATTAATTCTCACTAGATTCACCTGTCTCCTATGTGCACCATGTCAGCTCCAGGACTTTAAACAGTCCACATGTTTAAAGGCTTTTCCTGTTCTGTGAGTTTCCCAAACCTCTCCTAAGGATAAGACTGAATGAATAAACCAAAGAGCCTTCCATAAAACATCCTGCCTCTATTTTTTAAGGGTATCTGACTAGAAGGCAAAGCTTTAATTTTTTAACATGTGTTTCTATTTCTAACATATATTCAATTCAGTACAGTATTCAGCCAATGCATTGAAACATTGGATAGCACATTCATTAGTATTAGATAGGCAAATACCTGGTGAAACCAATACCCTGTGAGTCTGGATTTTGAGGAGACAGCAGCTTTCAACCCTGAAAGAAGAGCTCTTTAACAAAGAAGGCTTTTTCCTATGAAAGCTTTGTAGCTGTTGGGACTCACACAGCCTCTGGCCATGGACGTGAACCTGCTGTACCCTTTCGTTGTCCTTGCCCTCATTCCCCACTGGGCTGGAAAGATGGGCTCTCAGCTTGGCCTGTGCTCGACCCAAGCCAGCTCTCCCTCTCCATGCAAGGAGTCACAGTTGATGACACTGTGCCCATACATGGCAAGGACTCCTAGGACATGCCTCTGGGTTGCCTGCCTCCTTTGCACCTTCTCAACAGAGCTGGAGCCAGATACTTTCCTGAAACCTGATTCTGGACACACTCAAAGAATGAACCACTGAGCCCTATGAATGAGAAATATCTAAGAGGCTGGTGTGCAGTGTAAATGGTGCACCATTCTGAAACAGACTGACTTCCCCCAGCTGCCCTAGAAGGAATGCAGGAAGGTGATCTTATTTCTTTGGAAAGTCCCTTCATTTTCATTCTGAGAAATCCACACTTAAACATCCACAATCTCCTTCAACAAGGGTAAAATTTACATTTCAAACATAAAATCACAATGGAAAACTTGATGCCTGAAGAAGTTAGAATGAGTTAGAAAACGTCTTTACTATAATAGCAGTTAAAATTTAATAGTGAAAGTTAATGACTAATCACTGTTAATAGACAATAGAATATAGGAAGTGGATTTGGTTACTTGAGTGAGTTAACTTAGCTGTCTTAAAATGTCAGTGGTTGTTTTAAAAATAATAATCAATAAACTGTCAAAAAATTATTTTGTACATAATAATGTCCACATAAAGCTAATGGATGTCTTTTGAGATGATATTTTATGTAGTTTAGGAATCTACTTTTACAGTAGAGCACAGCCAACAGAGAATAGTGTTACTTTCTATGTAAACTCTTCAATGAGGCATAAATAACATAATGGTAGGAGCTAATGGAGGGGTATTAAAAAATTAAGTTACTCAAGCACTTTACTTAATGTTTTCCTGCCTCAATTTTCTTATTTGCAGAACAGGAAGAACATCTACTTCATAGTTGTCATCAGGAGCTGAGCCCAGCAGAAAGACTCACAAAGGCTGGTGGCTGTCATTGTATAACATTGAGGACTGGCTTCTCTACCCAGAATCCCAAGTGTCCCCAACCAGGGCATGGGGCACTGTCTGAAGGTCTGAGAGTGACAGGAGATGGTTCCTCAGCCCTCCCCTCCATCCTTGCCAGGGTGGAGATAAATTCTGCCAACATTAAAATCACAATAGCCTCTGATTCTAATTATGTGTCAATTAAAAGAGAATTAGCAACCATCTGTGTTTTCTTAATAAACAGCCACTTATGGAAAAATGATGAAGACCAGAAATGTATAAGTTGAGTAGTAACAGAAAATGAGTACATGACCAAAAAAAAAGGCTCTGAGATCATTAACATAATAAAGCATCCCGGGATGGAGAAGGACACTTAGTAGGTATTACCATTTCACAGGTTACTACATACACCATAGGATGTGTGATCACAAAACATTACGAATGTTCAAATTTTTAAAAAATTGACTACAGTAAAAGGTACATTGTTAATAATTTCCCTTAAAATACTAAAAATACTCCCTCTAGTTTTGCCTAATCTATCCCATTGTTCTTGGCAATATGCCTTTACTGAGATAAGTTATTTTCTAAACTTTAAACATTCACTGTGTCTTTTGATTACCTCTTGTGTACTGACAGCATTACCTCTCACAAGGACCTCTGGACTCTGAAGTCTTTTACATCATTATCAAAGACCACCTCTTTTGGAGGAGGAGGACAGGGAAGGACTGAGCTCATTCAAGGCTGCCTCCCTTGCCCACTCCCTGGCCCCTCGCCCGCTCGCCGGCCCCCTCCCTCCCTCCCCTCCCTTCCCCAGCCCTGGCCCATTCCAGTTCCCCTCTGGTCCTAGGGAGGATGTCAGGCTGGTCACTCCCCAGTGCCCTGGCCCTCTTGCTACTGCTGGTCTCTGGCTCCCTCCTCCCAGGGCCGGGTGCCTCTCAGAAAAGACCTGGGAGAAGTGGCTGAAGATGACCCCCCAACAACAGCGCATGGCCACGGTAGGGACCGACAAGGAGCTGAGCGACCTGCTGGACTGCAGTGCGAGGTTTTCCCCACCTGTTAATAGTGGGAAAACCAGACCAATGACACTGGGAAGCAGTCGGTTCAGTGGATCAGAACTTAGAAGATGATGAAACACTTTCCACCCTTCTTTATGAAGCCAGAATTAACCTGATTATGTAAACCAGACAAACAGTAAAGAATAAAGGAAGGACAAAGGAAAAGAAAACTATGGACCAATTTACCTCACGAACATATCGCAGAAATCCTAAAAAAAAAATAGCCAATTAAATTCCACTGTTCATAAAAGGAAAATCATAATCAAAACAAACTACAGCTAACATCATACTTGATGATGAAGGAATGAAAATTTTCTTCCATGAACAAGAACAAAGCAAGAATGTCTACTCTTAACCTCTCTCCAGTTCAGTATTTTACTAGAAAATCCTGGTCAGCAATAATATGGCAACAAAAGGAAATAAAAGAGGAGGAGACTGGGAAAGAAGAAATAAAACTGTTTCCATTGACAGACAACATGATTGTCCCAAAGAAGCTTCAAAAACCTAGAGTTTAGCAAGGTCATGGGATATAAGATACACACACACACCCCCATCCCCATCCCAGTCTTAATTCTCCATATATTTGGCCCTCCATTTCTTCAGGTCCATTGTCTTCAGATTCAACCAACCATGGATTAAAAGTATGTGGAAAGAAATTGTGGCTGAACTAAGCATGTGTCTGAACTAAGCCCTTTGTTGTCATATTCCCTAGGGAATATAATATAACAATTATTTATACAGTGTTTATATTGTCTTAGGTATCATAACTAATATGGAGATGATTTAAAATATACAAGAGGATGTGCATAGGTTGTATACAAATACTGTGCCATTTTCAAAGGAACTTGAGTATCTGTGAATATTGGTATTTGTGGAGTTTCCTGGAAACACTCTCTTGTGGATACTGAAAAACCACTGTCTAGCAATGTACAATAGGAACATTCTTGGAATAATAAGTACTATTTACAGTAGTTCCAAAGGAACAGATACTTAGGTATAAATATAACATACACGTACACTTGATCTGTATGCTGAAATCTACATAGTACTGAAGGAAATCAAAACAGACCTAAATGTAGAAGTATACTATGTTTGTATAAAAACTGTCAGTCCTTCCCAATTTGATTTATAGATTTAATACAGTTCCAATAAAAGCTCTAGCAGTATATTTTATGGGCACAGGGAATGTGACATCAAAATTTAGATGGAAGTGTAAAGAAATTAGAATATTTAAAAATTTTGGAAAAGAAGAATAAAATAAAAGGATTATACTTTGTGATGTTATGTAGTGTAATTTACAGGAAGTACTGCACTGTGAGGGATACAGATGCCTTCTCCCCTTCCCTCCCCTCTTTTGACTCCTTTCTGTATTTTGGGGCATAGGTCCAAGTACTAAACAACAAAATATGGTTGGCAGACAAGCATGTCATTTCTAGAGAATCATATGTAGATGTATTCTCATCCAGAAAAGAAGAGAAAAATGATTTGAAAGAAAAAAAAAAAGATCACCTCTTTTGATAATATGGAGACCAGGAATGGTCAGAGGTCATAATCAAGGTCAAGCTCTTCCAGCATAACCAGAGCCAGGTAAGAAGGGACCAGCCAAACACATTCCTGGGCCCCAAAGCAAAACAGAAATGATGGGCTAGTTGTATAATAGTAAATAAAGGAAAGAAATTAATAAAGAAATGCATGAAGAACTTCAGGACAATAACCTCAGAACATTAGAGCAAATGAGGAGCTGTGGCATTATGAAGTGGGCATCTGATCTGCCCTGTTTCCTAGACTACAACTTCTAAAATTCTTGGAATATTGTAAAGGACAAGTGTACACTAACAGTTGATGGCAGGCAGCCCCAGTCTACCTTTGGGGTGGAAGGAAGTCACCAAGGCCGGGCTCAGGCTTGGGACATTCAGTCTCAGCCTCTGGAAAGGGGAGTGGAGGTGAAGGTCAAGTTAATCACGAGTGGCCAACAACATGATCAGTTGCCCATGTAATGATACCTCTAGAAATCCCCCAAAGGTCAGGGTTCAGAGAGGATTTTGTTGCTGAACTCATAGAGGTGACTTGAAGCTTCCTGCCTCTTCCCAGGTGGCTCATAGGACAGCTTTCTTCATCTGTGTCCTTTCTGCTATCCTTATATTTAACCAGAAAATGAAGGAGGTGTTTCTCTGGGTCAGGAGCTTCTCTATCAAGGAGGCAACTATGGGAAAGCCAATATAGGGGCCTGCAGGTCACAGGCACAGGTGAAATGACCTGGGTTTGGGGTTGGCACGGCAGGGGCAGTCCTGGGACTGAGCCCTTAGCTGCAGGATCTGATGCTACCTCCAGGTAGACAGTGTCAGAACTGAACAGGACGAGGTGATCCCAGCTGGTGTCCACTACAGAATCGAAGGCTGGCTTGCTATGTGGGCAACACCTCTGCACCTGGTATCACAGCATGTTGTGACAGTACAGTGGCAGAGAGTGAGTTTGGTTGGATTTTTCACTCTCTGCTCTTGGAAGGACCCTTCTAAGACTCTGGTGGGTGGCCCTATGTGTTCCATGGATGCAGAGGACACGTCACTCACCACTGTCACTGCATCATTCAGCAGGGACTCTCCAAAGACCAGGATGTAAAGCTGCTCATTGACGTGAATGTTCTCAAAGACAGCCAGCACAGCCACAGGGTCCACGGCAGAGATCAGGCTGCCAAAGAGCAGGTTCTGGAGCAGGGTGATGTCTTGGAGGCCAAAGGCTTCGATCTGGCAGATGCCAAACAAAGACACCCCAATACCAATGGAATTCCAGAGTGTTCCCACCACGGCGTACCAGAAAATAGTGCCTATGTTCTCAAAGAATGGGCGGGTGGGCATGAAGTAGCCAGCATCCAGCACAATGGGGGGCAAGAGGTAGAGGAAAAAGACATCGGTTTTCATGGCCGGTGGAGACTTCTCATCCACGCCAAAGATAATCCCACCCAGCAGGAGTCCAACCATGATGAGCAGACAACTCTCAGGCACGATGGTGGGCAACTTGTGATAGAGATGGAAGCCTGTGAGAGAAGCAACAGAGACACAGAATTCAGGTTACACAGGAAGTGTGAAGAAGGGACACTGGTTCTCCTGGGCAGAACCAAGGGGTCTAATTCCAAAATCTCCTCAGCCATTATAAGTGGCTTTTCAGGTGACAAAGCAGTACACATGTACTTATGTACGTCCACCCAGTGAAGATCAGGCACTAATTGGTAGCTAAATTACACTGAGAAGCTATAGAAACACAATATCTACAAAGCACATCTTTTATTTTCTACACTTCTATGAAGTTTTTCTTAAATATTGGTGCAGTGGAAATGGAATAAAACAATGCAGCTTTATATTTGAAATAACTTAATGATTTCCAAAATATTTTCAGACGTAACATTTTGTTTCATCCTTACAAAAACCCTAAGGAATTAACAAGGGAGTTATTTTCATACTTATTAAAAATTTAAGTGGCAACCAAGATTCAAAGACTTCCAGGGTCTTACCAAGGTGGTTGGGCCAGCTAGTGTTTGGATTACTACTGTCATCTCTGGCACTCATTAAAGTGGGTCATTTACTTATTTCTAATTTCAGATTCTTTCATTTGGAATATGGAATATGTGTGATTGTTGAGATGCGGGATCCTCCCAAGACAGCCAAGTTAATTCATCAAGAGGCATTAAATAGCTGATGGAAGCACACCATGGTCTCCAGTGTCTAATGGTCCCCATCAAGTGATGGAGCAATGCATTTGTGACTTCTGTGACACAAAACAAAGTGGGACCAGGCCTCAGCCACATGCAGGAGGACACAGATGAGGAAGAGACACCATCCACGCAGGCTGAAGAGACAGAGAGGCATTGAACCAGACACCTGTAGGAGAGGAGATGGAGAAATACCAGGTCTCCTAATCTCTGCTGGAGCCAGGTATGTCTGGGTTGTGGCTTTAACACCAGAGCCGGGGTGGTGGGAGGGGGGGGCTGGACCAATGCTTGAGGGCAACATGGAAAGGACCTAATCTGGAGGAGATTCCTTGTTTGCAGAGCAATAGGAAGTCACCCTGTTAGAATGGAGCAGAACGTGAGAATCTGTGGTTTACATGCAACCCCCCCCCAAAAAAAATTCAAGTGATATCATTAAGAGGTGTGCCGTTGAGGGATGACTGGGCCAGGAGGGTTTCTTTCTCATGAATGAGATGATGGCCTTCAAAAAAGAAGCTTCCAGCCAGGCATGAGTGCCTATCTCAAAATTAAGAATTTTCAAAAGAAGTGGAGATGTAGCTCAGTGCAAAGGTCCCAGGCTCAATACCCAATATGAGATAGATGGATAGATAGATAGATAGATAGATAGATAGATAGATAGATAGATAGACTGAGACTCTTCTACCACTACCAGTCTTTCTGTCTTCTACCTTTTCAGGACTCAGCAAGAAAATCCTCACCAGACACCAAAAACCAGGTCCTTGACTTTGGACTCCTAGCCTCCCAAAATGAGAAAATAAATATCTCTTCTGTATAAGTTACCCAAGTTAAGCTGTTCTGTTAGAGAGCAATAGAGGGTTAAGACGGACACATGTCTGCATTATAGGATGGTGATACTAACATGATAGAATAAGTCTTTAGAAACTTCTCATCACAGATGTTCTATAAGCAAATCCTTATTACAAGTAGGACTAAAGCCCCAACACTAAACGCTTTCTTAGCTCAATCAGCACACCCTCATAGTTTGAAGGGATTTAAATAATTCATTCCTAAATAAGAAGACCCTCTGTATGAGAGATATTGTGTCGTGTCGTTTCTCCAGGGCTGGTGGCTGTAGGATTCACACCTCGGGCTGCAGCAGTGAGCGCACAGCTGTTCTTCACCCAGGACCTTCAGCCAGCCACCCTCCCCTGTAAACACAGAATTAAAATGCCCTCTGCAAAGCACTTTGCCATCTCCCCGCACTGCCTCTGCTTATAGCCAAAACTTTCTGTGTGATAAGAGCAACCTTGTAGTGGCCTCCCCAGGCACCCAGGATCCAAGTGCAGTCCCCTCCTTCCAGCAACATGGTCCCAGCCTGAAGGTCTCTGACCACTACCTTTGAGCTTGAAAAGCCAGCCCTCCACTCTCCACCTGTGACAGTGGACCGGTGCCCAGCACGCCCAGGCCTTGTAACTCATCTGTGAAGCACAGACAGGGACAGGGACAGTGCACCGCTTAGATCTGAGATGATCACGAGGGCAGTCGCTCACAGTGCATCATTTTCGATGGTGCCTGCAGTGTCTCAAATCCCCCCAAGTACAGTTTCCTGTCCGTCTTCCACAGGAAAAAGCAAGAGAAAACAGTTTAAAGGAATGTGCAGAGGCAACAGGACAGGACAGGCTGGAAGCAAACTGGAGATGAGGAGGTGTGCACAGATGCTCCCACTTGCTCTTCTCGCTTTGTTCTTTCCTCTGGTCGACCCAGCCCTGGGGACCCAGTGCTCTCCCAGGGGTGCTAGCCACACCCCCAAGTGGCAAGGACATTCCTGAGAGTGGAACAGGGGAAACCATGAACAGGAGAAAGCAGGGGACACAGGCTGCTTCCCGCCTCTCCAAGGCCACAGCAGGCCACAATCCGCTTTCATGCACCTGAGCCTGGCCAGGAGCCAGCAGGAAGCAGAAGAGGCCACTGGGACAGAGGCTGCAGGAGGCACGGAGAAGAGGGACAGAAGAGGAGCCAGGACAAGGAGAAACCTCATGAAGAATAGCAGCAAACCCAGTGTATTAGTTCAAGAAATCATGTGTCTGTATTTTTAAAATCTGTTCCCCTTTTTATGAAGGCTAAGATCATTCAAAATTCCTCTCTCTCTCTCTCCCTCCTTCCCTCCCCCCCCTCGCTCTCTCTTTCTCTCTCTGTTTTCTCTTGTACTGGGCATTGAACCTAAGGCCTTTTCCCTGAGCTACATCCTCATCCTCATCCCTTTTTACATTTTTTACTTTTAGGCGGGAGTCTTGCTAAATCACTAAATTACCTAGGCTGGGTTTGAATTTTCAGTCTCCCTAGTTTAGCCTCCCAGAGTGCTGAGATTACAGGTGTGTTCCACCTGTGAACCCTCCCAGCTGTTCCTGGGAAAGAAGAGCTAAGCGAAGGGTGATCCCTGTCCCCTGCTCTCTAGAAAACAGAGGCAGGGCAATTGGCTCACACACGGTGAGTCTGCCCAAGGCCTTGAGTGTGAATGTCTACACTCCTCTGAGCCACTGCAATGGAATAACTCTTATCAGCAAGGTAATTAGTGAAAATGAACAAACAAAAAAGGCTTCTTAATGTCAGTATTCACAGAATAAAACAAACAAATCACCAATCACAAACACACATGCACTCGGGGACTCCCCCAAGTGTTTCTCGCAGAGGAAATGAACTCCAGTAGAATTTGCCTCCCCCAAGCCATGATCCCACATGATATTATCAAGATAGGTATGAGTTATTGGGAAAAAAAATCAAATGAACTTTTTGATGGTTTCTACCAAGCTGAACATAAGCTACTGAGGGTAGGATCTACTGTGCGGTCTGCATATTGGCTGACATTTTTCTGAGAAGAGCCAGGTAGTAACTATCTTCAGCTTTCAGGCCACACCTTACTGTCTCTTTTCCATTGCCAAAGCAGCCATAGATAATAATAAAATCAATAAGTGTAGCCCTGTTTCAGTGAGATTTGATTCATGTAAATGGACATTAGAATCCCATGACATTTTATGTGTCACAGAATATTCTTTAGATTGAATTTTAATTATTTGGAAATGTAGAAGCACTCTTAGCCACAGAACACACAGAGAAACCCTTAGCCCAAATCTGGGCCCTGAGATATAATGGTACCTACTTCTGGTTTATTCCACTTTCTCTATTTCCTGCTAATTTCTGTCTGTAATGTTTGGGACATTGTACCTTGTGTTATTCAATTTTTATTAGCAGCGCATTAAAGTCTGTCAGAATGAGTGCTTTAAGGATTTATTATCTTATTTTAATTGCAATAGAATTCACTTAGTGGGAAGGATAGCTGGATTATATAAAATATATAATGAAGACTTTCCTCCCAGGGTAAATACATTTTAATTTCTGTCTGCATACATGTTTAAATCAACTGTTAGAGCCAAAGATCTCCATGTAACTAAGCACTACACCATAAATTCAGTATAGTTTCTCATTCTATCCACAATGACCTATTTGTCAAATCTGGGACAGAAGAAAAGGGAGAGACAACACAGGATAGCAGATAGCAGGACCTGTGGAAGAGCAACAATGTAAAAATCAGAATCAGAATCTTCCACAACAAAAAATACAAAGTAAGTTGGAGCTACAACAGCAAAAACTCAAAACCAAAAACCCACAGTCATTATTGGCACAAAAGAGGAAGGGAAAGGAGCAGAGGAGGCCAGTGAGGAAGCCCTCAGCACAGAATGCCCGGCTCCCAGTGCAGACAAACACCAATGCTGTAGTCGATGTTCTAGATTTTATTTCATTACTTGGCTCTACATTTTAAAAGGGCTTGAAGAAAAAAATAATGGCAACAATTGGATCAACAAATATTTGCCAAGCTCAGGTTAAGTACAGGGCAAGTACCCACGGGTACCAAATAAGCACCAGACAGTGACCACAGCTACCTGGCCCAGCTCGCTCTAGGAAACCCTGCACTTAAAGCCAAGCATGGTGTGAAGTAAATCATGCCTATCTGGCTGGAGAAAAATCAGGGGAATATTCATAGACTATATTAAACTTCTTTTAAATTTTTAGGAAGAATAGACAAGTTCATCCAAGCCTAAAAATATTGATTTTTATGCATCTCAATTCACACAGCAACCAAATAGATACGTTAAAAAATAGAACTGTAGTAAATAACCACCAGCCAGAAAGAAACATGAAGAAAATGGTAAGAAGCAGCATTTTAATCACATAGGCCAACACATTTCTGTCATCTTGTAAAACTCAAGTAGACAACAACTGAATAACATTTGATTTCTGCAAATAGAATCATATTGAGTAAATAATGCAAATAAGATAAGCAAATGAATAAT